TTGTGCGATGAAAGCTAATCGAGTTACGCAGAAAGCAGAACTGTGATAAAATCTCATATAAAAGAAGCATGCAAGCTCATAATGTTCTAAAGCACTGAGAAATTATTTAATGTCTGGTACTAAGTTTTCAATTTAGAAATTCTCTTTGATTCGCTTATTTATGTATGATGTTTATAGTGTTAGTAACATTGTACGTTATGTTGAAATTATCTTTTAAAACTCAAAATATGTGTTCACAAAATTTATTGCTGCAACAGCTAAGATCCCTCTCTAAGATTGTAATGCACATGAAATAGATGAAAATAAAACTGGCTGAAAAAAAAAGGAATCTATGAAGAATACAGTTATTAATTTTTTTAAATCGATTTAACAAAACTAAACAAATTTTACTCTAAGTCCTCCACTTTTAAATGAAATTGATTTTCCTCCACTTTTTTCCATCTTTTGTTTAAGAACATGGAGTGCAGCATCTTCAACAACTCTTGGTATATTACTATTAGCTGTTAAATTGAAAATCTCAGAAATGCTATTGTTAAAAGTATACAATGATGGTGACAAACTTGGTAAAGATAATGGTGAGGACAAAAATAATGATTTTGTTACAGATTTTCCATTGCATATAAGCTTATGATGTATATATACGTCATATTCTTTTATTACATTGAACTTTGCTTTACATAGAATACATTCAACACTTAACATTTTTATAAGGGAGTTTGTTTTATTGCTGACAACTAAGTCTTCGGGTATTAAAGGTTCGTTACATTTTGGGCATGAAGTTTCATTAAAGAACCTAATTTTAATAATCTCCTCTAAACAGAAAAAACAAAACAAATGTTCACATTTTTTCAAAGATACCGGTTGTTTTGGTATTTTACCACATAAACAACATATGCATAGCTGTAAGTAAGGATTAAATTCATTTACCAAATCGTTATTGTCTATTTCCAAATTGTGTAATGTCAAAATATTTTCCTTTAAAGTACTCAAGATAGAAAAACTCCAAACCTTTTTGCCAATTTTAGGATGGCCAATAAACTTTGTTTTACTCCTTATTTGGGAATTTGAAAAAATAGCACCCTGACTCAGTTTTTTCACATGATGACAAGTATAGCAGTCATCACAATGAGGTGTCCACTTTGTACATAAAAGCAGAGTAGTTGATGACATTCTTTTTATTACTATGTTAATTGTTTTGTAACATTTAGGACAAATTTTTAACGGATGAACTCCTTCTAAATCTGTTAATTTGACGTGAAACATCTTTTTAATTTTATCTTTTTGGATGGCTCCAATTGAGTAGTTTTTTTTCCCAATAAAACAACCACAAACTCTGCAAAGAAGATTTAAATTTGTGATATGCAAATCCATCTAAAGAAAGTAATTAATAACTTTTAAGTAAAGAATGAAATTGAAATCAAAACTATTATTTATAAGTATTAACTACTAAAATACTATATTCAAATCATAACTCAGCTTTATAAATTTAATTTAAAAAATAAATAAAATTGTAATAAAATTTTCAAGTGCAAATATAATAAATGCTTTTAGTTCAAATACAATAAATACTATTTAAGAACCACTGTAAATTGAGTCGAACAAAAATAAGTATTATTGAAAATAATACCTTAAATAAATTAAAGAAAAATCTTAGTCGTAATCTTTTGGGTTATGTTTATGGTTTAGCATTAAGGTATGGTTTTGCATAAAACTCATTTTTTACTGATTTTGAGGTGTATGTCCTAAATACACATTTTCCAAAAAATCTTTAAAAAAAAGTAAATTCAGTTTTATAAATAAAGAATTTTCTTTTTTTTTAAATAATCATAAATTATAAGATTGTGACCTTGTAAAAATTTGTATTTTATAACTTTACTTGAGAAAATGTGAATTTTGAACAAGAAAAAAAATTGTGTCCTGAGATTAATTAAAAGAAATGAAAACATATAAGATTTATAAAACTTTTTTTGAAAATACTGAAAAAGTTTAACGCTCAAATATTTAGAAAAATAATTTTGAAAACTATAAACAAACCACAGCATAATAACTTCAAAAGTAACTCAATTTTATTAGTAAAATTATTCATATACATATTAACTTTAGTTATTTTTATAAAAAACAGGGTGTCTCTATTATTATTTAGCACAAAAATCATTTATAAATTCAAAAAATAAAAACAAATAATGCAAATAAAATTGTTGCTAAGAAAGGTTAATTCTGTTTCGAAGATCCACAGCCATTTTGAAAATTCTTCTAATATCAAATATGCCAATCCGCCTGCGTATAATAACCTGGCGTTTTTAGTAAAGTTTGAACGACCGTGTACTAACTGTTTATCTTTAGAAATGTTAAAACTTTAGAATTTAACTGAACTTCTACTGACTGGCACTTTAAAAGAAGATTTATTCTTGACTTCATTAAAGAAAAGTGAAAAAAAAAAAAATGAAATCTTGAATAGCCTTCTTGATAGCTTGAATAACGATTAAAAATAAATTAAAAAAAAAGGAAATTAAGATACTTTGAAGCAATATATCTTTTTGATTACTTAAAACGTTTTGTTTAGAAAGAGACTTCAGATAAAACTTTTTTTTTTTAAGCAATCTGTCGTTTTACTTGTTTAAAACGTTTTTTTAAAAAAAGACCAGATTAAAACGCAACGATTAAAAATCAGATTTATCCAATCAAAATTTGAATAGCATAAATTTGAAAAAAAAGTTGCGTAACTTTATACGCAAAGAAACTTTTGCAAATACTTTTATTTTTTATATCTTTTAAATTTTTAAAATAGAAGTAGAAGGTCAACCATAAAAAATTAGCAAAAACTGAATCGTTTTTTAAACTTTTCTCAAAAAATTAATTAAGAATAACTGGTTAAACAAGAAATATAGAATTTTGGACTCCCCCCACCCCTAACTATAGAAACTCGATGACTAAAATGTCTATGTGCGTACTGAATGTATTTACCAAAAGTAACGTTAAAGGTTGCTTCTCGATCCCACACAACGCGGTGTAATAAAAACCATCCATCGATTTTTACGCATTCCAGTTTCATCAAACATTGATAAAGGGTAGGGGGCTAATTCATACTCAAAAAATTTTTCTATTTCATCCTTAAATGTCTTGGTAATACTCATACGTTGAAATATTAATACTGGATCTACAGGTACTTTCTCATCCTGAACTTTTATAGCGCTACTCATGATTAAAAGAGGAAGAACTTTATCAGCGCGTTTTAATTTGATATTAAATGTTTCACCTATTATTTTAGACTATTCATTTTACTACCAAACTTCAACTTTAACCGTGTCTTAATTATTCTGTTATCTAAATGTGAAATTTTGCAAATATTTTTTAATTCTTATAATGAAATGAAAACTGACAATCATCGCTTGCCATCAACCCAATGGTATGTTATATAACTAGATGTCTAACTTCGATCCGGAAAATGAAGCCGCAATTTGCCTTTTTTACAAATGGTGGATTAAATTTGTAAACAAATATTTTTAACTCTTCTTTTCTTAAATTAAGTAAATATATTTTAAATCTAAATACTATTTACGTAAATATGTTAAGCGGAAAATATAATACTTGTAAAATAATAATTTATGATTCCTTATTTAATTTTCGATTAAAAAGGGATTAAAGTTTTGAATTGAAAAGTAAAACGTCTTACTATTTTGAAGCATTTTTATGAAATAAAGTACTTTTTAATAAACATAGGCTTAGTAAAAAACTTTTAAAAGTATTTTATAATTGTTAAAACACGTTTTTGAATTATCTTTAATTTATTGGGAACTTTTGACTTGCATTTTTAATTTTTATTCTACCCTTCGGCTTCAGCTTTTGTCCTTTTTACAAATGGCGGACTATTGTTATAAACAAAAAACAGCGGCTTCACTTTTTGTCCAATAAAATCCGGCAAGTTAGGCATCTAGTTATATAATATGTCATTGATTAAACCAAATCATCGTCTGTTGGCATAGCAACGTTTAGATGCGATGAGAAATAGCACGAAAATTAGTTAAGGGAGCTTGGGTAACGGAGGATTTTTAACTAAAAAAATTATTGGAGCGGATTATAAACGGAGCCTAAACGGAGGGATTAGAATAACATTTACTTTCCTCTGTTTTAAAACCGGCCGTTTAAAGTTTTTTTCTTAACGGTCACTCATGTCCTCCTTTAGTTTAACGGAGAGATGTGAATACGGCTGTTGAAAATTTTTAGCAGCTAAAATAAATAAAAAAGTACTCTTTAAAATTCTTTTTTTTTTTCCTATGCTTTACCTATTAATATAAAATTACTTATTTGCATTATAAAAGTAAATGGTTATAAATGTTCTTTAATTAAAATGTTCGTTAAAGTAAAGTACGAACATTTCACTTAAATTTTGGGAAAAAAAAACTTTGTCTATTGGCTCTGAAGACGCTTTTTTACATATTTTTACATCGTTTAAAATCGAAAAACGTTATTGGGGCATATTTAAAAGTTCTCCACAATAGTATAAATTTGGGTTGGATAAATAATACACAAAGCTCTTAAAAAAATTTCCGATTGCTAAGATCCGTGCTAACCGTGGAACGTAATAAATAAATAAAAAAGTAATTAACTTTCTAAATTAGTGTTGCCGATTTTTAAACCATTCTGCCCGATTGTGTAACTTCTTTAAAAAGTTAAATTTAATTGAGTTCCTTATTATTTTAAATGAGCTAAAATCATAGTTCTTAAAATCTTCATATTGACATTTAGGGATTTAGCACCATTGTTGACTAATATTAGTTAAAATATCAACATATTAATACTATATAATAAATTAACTAATTTTAAAAGAGAATAAATAAATAAAATTTTACTTTCTACATTTTACTGTGTTTTTCTGCAAAAATATGAGTTAGGGGAAATTATTTAGGGTTTAAAAGAATATTTAATTAATAATTTTTTAATTAAAAACTAATTAAAAATGCTTCAGGGAAATTAAAAAATTAACATTGAAGAATGCTAAATTATTTCAATATTCTTATTATGAATAATTCTTTATTCGTATTAATTTTTTGTCACTAACACCTTAAACAGCTAAGTTACATCTAAATATTCATGTTTACAAAAATAAGTTAAACTTTATTGACAATTTTTAAATTTTTTACTGATCCAGTTTGTGCAGAATACCACTGATCACCAAGGTAAACCTTGACATTTTGGAAATCACGTGCATCATTATTTCTGACAGTAAAAATAATATTGCCATTCAGACTCACTTCATAAACATAGACCGAATAATCAAGTCGCTGACATATTTCGATCTTTGACCATTGGTTTAAAGGTAACGATGATGTTGTAGTAAAGAAATAATTTTTGTTTCCATTTATAGCAGAAGTAATCAATAACTTTCCTGATCCATCTTCATGGAACCATACACCTGGTATTCTATCACCATAATTTGCTAAATCCTGTCCGATAGTCATATGAAGCACACTATGCCATCCTGTTTGATATGAAGTTGGTTTAAGTTCAAATGAAACACTATATTGTCTCTTTAAGAGCACCAATGTCGCAACCAAGTTATTTTTTTTAATCACAATTTCTGATGCATCGTCAATAAAATCTAAAAAAAACAAAATGTTCTTTAGACATTTCTATTCTTTAGATGTTTATAAAAAACTACCAACTGCAATATATATATATATATATATATATATATATATATATATATATATATATATATATATATATATATATATATATATATATATATATATACATATATATATATATATATATATATATATATATATATATACATATATATATATATATAATATATATATATACATATATATATATATATATATATATATATATATATATATATATATATATATATATATATATATATATATATATATATATATATATGTAGTATAAATAGAAAATACCTCTTGGAAGAATAATACCATATAGATGCGGATCATTACCTAGTATTAAACAAAGTTATAAAAACTATGTACTGTAATTACAAATTTCAAACAATTTTATTGTATTAAGGTCATCCGTTTTTTCACGGGAAAAATAATCACGTGGGCATGCGTATTATAAGTTTTAATTTGTCCGAAGTAAAACTACGCATGCTCACGTGATTATTTTTTCCTTTCCTATCCCGTTCCGGTAGAAAAAAGGATGAGTGGAAGCTTTATGATAAAAAAGATATGACATAATTATACTTGCTGTTTACTTGAAACAAAAAAGATCTTTACTCACTAGATGCTCCATTAACAACAAACAGATTTCTTATTGAACCATCTTGAGCATCATACCAAGGATCAGATGCATATACTTTTACATTATCAAAACTTTGAACTTGATTATTATTTTCAGAAAAGACAACTTCTCCATTTAATCGAATTGTGTATACATAAACTGAGTTTCTCAAAATTTGACTTATTTCAACATTAGACCACTGATTTAATCCAACTGGATTTGTTGTAAAAACTCTGTCAACGTTGCCATTAATTGGTGCAGAAATGTAAAGGCCGCCTCTTCCATCAGCATGAAACCAGATACCAGGAACACGATCGCCATAATGACCCAAATCAGAACCAATAGAGAAATGAATAACACTATGCCAACCAGCAACAAATTTATTTGGATAGACATCAAACGAAACTAAATACTCTCTCTCTAGCTTTGGCAGTTTTGCAATAAGTTTTCCTTTTACTAATGGAGTAGAAACGCCAACAAGGTATTCTACAAAAAAAAAAAATTGAAAGTAATAGAAATAATAGAATATTAACTTTTAAAAAAATACTTTCTTTTTTTAAATTATAATATCATTTCAACAAAACTCTTGGGCTTACGAGCATTTCCATTGAATATTCGAAGATTAGAGATTGACCCATCTTGGCCAGCATACCAGAGATCAGATGCATACACAACCATGTTTGTAAAATCTCTAGGCTCAGAATTGGCTACTTTATGAATATTTGCTCCGTTTAAATAAACAGAAAACCAATACTTGCCATCGCGCATACTTTGACATATCTTAATATGAGACCATTGATTTAATGGAAGCGGAGCTGTTTCAACATAGTAGTTATTATTACCATTTACTGCAGCAAAAATTGAAAGTTTTCCAGAGCCATCTTCATGAAACCAAACACCTGGATTTCTGTCCCCATAAGCTCCAAAATCTTTACCCAAGGTTAAATGAAGAACACTCTTCCAGCCTTTAGTGTAACTTTTAGGTTTAAGATTAAATTCCACAGTGTACTCCTTCTTCAAAACATTAAGTGTTCCGAGTATTGATCCTTGAGTAATGACTAACTCATTTCTACGGCTGATATAATCTAAATAGGAAATAAAATATAACTATTCAATTTTAATATTCATATATATATATATATATATATATATATATATATATATATATATATATATATATATATATATATATATATATATATATATACTTATTAATTTTAGAAACTAAAATCTAATTACCTAAAAGTAAGAAAATAATTTGCAATTTTTATTTATTTTTTATTTTATTGAAAAACCAGAACCAATGTGAAATACTGCTGATGTCAATGTTATAATGTGAATTATAATATGAAACCAAATATTGGCCACATAACAGGTACAAATTAGAGATAACTCTATATATCTGAACCCTACTATTTAAACTTCAAATTACTAATTCAACTCACTTCACCTTCTGACGCAGAAAAAAAGAAAATCAAATTAGCACCAAATAGAAAAATTTCAATTAATATTATACAACTGGGTGTCTATGGTACCCATACATCTCGATTTATTAACTACAAACAGTTTGATGACAAAAGCAAAAGAATTAATTTGAACATGTCAAAGATAACTGATTTTAAAAACAAATAAAAAGTTAACCTAATGTAAGAGTATTTTACTTTAGGTGCAGCAAATGAAACTAAATGTAGCAACAATGAAGTACTTGTTTCAAGAGGAGAAGTTAAATCATCAATATAAAATAAAGTCAACCTCATACCTTATTTAAAGTCATTCCACAATCTAAATTTACTTTAAAGTTGCAGAGACAGAAAAAATGACTGACAAAAAGATGTATGAAAAAATAAGACCTATCAGGATATATCTTTAATTTAATACTTTCTGTTACAATTTACCACGTTTGTTTATTTTGTGTGTGACAGTTTATTTGCTTCAAACTTGTGTGGTTTGAAGCAAATTTTTTTACAGATTAGGACTAAATACTTTTGAAATATTTTTAACTTTATGAGCAAACTAGGACTGAATTTCTTATTGTGATAATCACATCAGGAAGATTACTGAGGTTTATGAGCTCATCCCACAATTGAATTGTTTTTCTCTGCCAAAAATTTTTGCATTATCATGACTATAAAGTTTGCTCTGCATTTTTATTTTTTACTTTTCCAGCCCTTAGAGTAACTTTTGGGGTTAAAAGAGACAGTGTACTCATTTTTTAAAAAGATCTGTAGCTAACTGACTTATACCTTGATTTATAGCTAACTGGTTTCTATGGTTTATAGCTAACTGATTTAAAGCTAACTGGTTTCTATGATTGATAAAGTTATAAATTTTGAACCTTAATATAGAAACCATTGAACTAGCTGTTGAAATTAAATTTTGAAAAGTAAATTTATTGTTTTTTAAAAAACTAAAAAAGTGACTACTTAAATAACAAAGCTTTAATTTTTCTTGATTAAATTTTTTTTTTTTTATTTCTTTAGATGTATTTTCATGTAAAGTGTATTTCGGACTATTTCTCTTTATTTTTACATTTAATATTTAATCTTATTTGGTTTTATTGATTTAACTCATATTATTTAAAACCACTCAAAATGTCTTAAAATAATTATTTTTTTCAATCAAATTTATTGGACAACAGTTTGAGTGATTTTGATTCTTATTTCTAAAAAAAATACATGAGCAAATATGCTATATAAATAAATCAGATATGTGGCACATTTCTAAATTAAATGTATAGTTATCAATCTCACGAAGTTCACAACAAAGTTAGATGTAAATTAACAAAATTTACATTTAACTTTCACTCAGAGTCAGAACTAACAACACTAACATATTTTAAGCAACAGTCTCATTTTTAGAAGGTATGAACAAAATGAATAACAAAATATAATAAACAAAAATTTAAGTCAAATTTTCTGGGTTTGATAAAATATAGCCAAGGCCTTCCTTATTTATGCTGTTTCTCTAATATATAAACAATCTAGAACATTTTCTTTCCTTAACTAAAGCTCATTTATACAATATGTAAAGCACTCTATTCAAGTTTTCTTAATTCTACCTTTACCATTTAATCCTGAAGCTACTACCTCTCTACATGCTGGTACCTAAATCACTTTAATCTTCTCTAACAAACATTGTTAGACGTTTTTTTCTAATCTATCTTTATTACTCTTGCCCATCTTTATGTTTCCATTTTATATACAACCTACAACTTTTTCAGTTACCCATTAACTAGTTTTTAAACCCTATCCTCTATTTTAAAGTAACTCATAAATTATTAGGGGTTGCTTGCAATCTTGTTGCAATCTTATTAGGGGTTGCTTGCAACCTTGTTGAAATTAAATAAGAGTTTAAAAATATATAAATATATTCCAGTATTTAAAAAATTCTAAATGTAAGTATAAAATTATAGTATGTAAAATATTATAAATTTTTTTCTAGCCCGGGCTAGAAAACCTTTGCTATATCTTATAATTTTGCTGGGGCTGGGTTTCCAAAAAGTCTCATTAGCGGGGCCCCTGTCACTTTCTATCTACAGATCAATAGTATTTGTAAAAATATATAGTGCAATAGCATCCATAAAAAAAGGCGTTTTCAGTAAAATGGTCAAGACAAAAAAGAAGGTGACTTGTAGATGGTACATACATTTCTCTATGTAGGAAATACCCTGCCACATATTTTAAAGACACATCATAACTGACCATTGAAATGGTCACTAAAGAAATGATAAATAAGCAAACAACAATGTGACAATAAGCGTAGATGACATTATAAAACTGCCAGCCACAAAATTTACGATGTAAAGGCCAACCCCATTACTGTTCAAGGACCCATTAGAAAGCATAGAATTCAAGAGGCAACTCTGCAAAGACATATACCTATAAATTGGAGAGTTTGACGTTTCTGTGTAATTTTCCTTTGGAAGAAATTTAAGAATCTATTGATTTCTAGATTATCAACTAAGCCAAGGACTGCTCAACCACATTGCATTATCTCAATGTAGATAAAAGCAAGATTCTCAGGTGTTCAGCACATTTAATTCTGAGTGTGGATCAGCATGTAAATAAAATTTCATTAATAAAGAACAGAAGATTGGTGTACAGAAGCTAATACCATTTGCTGCCAGTAAGGTGTTCACGCCTGGCTCCAGTAGTTACACCTTCAGTCTTATAATAATTGGTAAACTATTGTTGGAAAGTGGCAGAATTCTTTGAAAAACATTCTTAAAAAAACATTGTCATGACCAATAGATTTCTAGTAGATTCTTTTTTCACAAAAATCAGTGAGTTTGATTTGCCTGAATGTCTTACATCAGCAAAAATGATATTATATGCAGAAGATGCCATCATACACTATAATCATAAACATCTCAAGACTATTTAAGAGTGTCTAAAATTGGAATTAAATAGTATAGCAAAGCACTTTAATAATAATCAACTAATAATTAATCTGAATGTGGGAAAAATAGAAGCAATGCTATTTGGATCTGCAAAAAAATGTTACAAGAATGTACTTTGTTTAAGTAATGAACAAGAAATAATTAACTTAGTGAAATCATATAAATACCAAGGATATAAATTGGATCCAAGACTTTTTTTAGAAAATCATTTTAAGGATAGTTATAGAAAAGCGTGCAGTCATTTAAAATTGTTGAGTAAATTAAAAATCGATTCTATATATGGTTTTCCATGAGAGGTTAGAAGTAAATGATAATACCAGAAGGCTTAAGGAAGAGGACTCAGTGAGAGGGTTGCCATCTTATAATATAGGAATATCCACAATATTGCGATAATGGTTTCCAGTAAAAAGACAAGTTTAGCTGGTATTAATATTTAGAAGCCACTGCAAGCCCCAAACTAAAGAGATATCAAATTCAAGATGGACCGTCTGTTCTAAACGATCAAAAAGGGAAGAATTTTTGACAGGAAAATAAAGTCATGTTGTTAGTAAACTTTAAAAATTGTAGAATAGTTTAATTAAAAAATGACTGTGACAACAGAAGACAAAGTGATTTGTTAGATTATGGAATAACCAATTTAACTGGAACGGCAGTAAAAGTACGGTTATTAGATTCTAGATTTAAATTAAAACAACTTTTCTTTATATCTGAAATAAATAACTGTCTACCTAAACCATAAAATTTACTCGCCACTTTAGATGTAACAGGAATATCATATATGTAGATAAAAACAACACAGGAACAAGAATAGAACTTTGACACACCCCAGAAGTTACTGGAAATAAAGGAGAGTGTTGGGCTTAGAGGATGACATTTTTAATGCAGTTAGAAAAAAAAAAGTTTAATAATTTCAAAAACTTTCCCAAATAAACTATATGAAGCAAGCTTATAGAATAAAAAAACAGTATACCAAACTTTATCAAAAGCTTTTAATATGTCAAGAACAATAGTCCTTTCCTGGCCACCTCCATCTAATGCATAATAGAATCTTTCAGTTACATCAGTTAGTAAGTCAGCTCTAGAACAAGAAGACCAAAAACCAGATGTTAGAAACTTGTTGATTAAATACTCAAAAAACTTGAAAATAATAACGAGTAAACTGACCTAACAATTGTTTGAGGGGTCAAAACATTTACCAGAGTTTTTAAAAATTGGAACCACAAATGACAATTTCCAGCAGACAGGAAAAGAAGATTCAGTCAAACACTTATTAAATAGATTAGAGAGATAAAAAGTAAATTAAACAGATTAAAGGGTACCAGAAACACTTTGTAAAACACTTTTGTTGGGATCACAAGCTGTAGAAGTGTTTAATTAAAAAACAACTGTGACAACAGAAGCCAGAGTGATTTGTCAGATAATGGATTAACCAATTTAACTGAAATGGCAGTAAAAGTACAGTTATTAGATTCTAGATTTAAATTAGAAAAATTTTTCTTTATATCTGAAATAAATGTCTACCTAAACCAAAAATATCAGTTGATATAGCTACATTGACTAATAAACTATTTTATCATTAAGAAAGTTAAAGCATTATAATTACAACGGCTATAAATTAAAAAAAATTATAAACTAAAAATTAATTTTTTTATATACCTGTAGGTAAAATAACAGCTGGTTGCAACCCATTATCTAAAAAAGTTGAACAGTAAACAAACTTATAAAATACATAAAGAAAATAGCATAGTCTCATAATCAAAAAAAAAAAGGTTGAACACAAAGAATGAACACAATTAAAAACATACTTGAAATACCATTGATAATAAACAAATTTCTTATTAAACCATCTTGGACTTCATACCAAGGATCAGATGCATATACTTTTACATTATCAAAACTTTGAACTTGATTATTATTTTCAGAAAAGACAACTACTCCATTTAATCGAATTGTGTATACATAAACTGAGTTTCTCAAAACTTGACTAACTTCAACATTAGACCATTGATTTAATCCAATCGGGTTTGTGGTAAACACTCTGTCAACGTTACCATTAATTGGTGCAGAAATATAAAGATCACCTCTTCCATCAGCATGAAACCAGATACCAGGAACACGATCACCATAACGACCAAAATCAGTACCAATAGAGAAATGAATAACACTATGCCAACCAACAACAAATTTTTTTGGATACACATCAAATGAAACTAAATACTCTTTATCTAGTTTTGGCAGTTCTGCAATAAGTTTTCCTTTAACTAATGTAGTAGAAATGCTGCCAACAAGGTATTCTACAAAAAAAATCCTTTTTAATAGTAAAATAAATAAATCTTTCTAAAAATGTTTTTTGGCATTAACTATAATGCCATTCTAACAAAAAACATAAGCTTACGAGCATTTCCATTAATAATTTGAAGATTAGAGATTGAGCCATCTTGGCGAGCATACCAAGGATCAGAAGCATATACTTTGATGTTTTGAAAATCTCTAGCATCTGAATTTTCAACTCTATGGATGTTAACACCATTCAGATCAACAGAGAACCAGTACTTACCATCACGCAAATATTGAGAAATTTTAACATGAGACCATTGATTTAATGGAAGTGGAGTTGTTTCAACATAATAGTTATTATTACCACTAACTGCAGCAAAAATAGTAAGTTTTCCGGAACCATCTTCGTGAAACCAAACACCTGGTATCCTGTCACCATAAGCTCCGTAATCTTTGCCCAAAGTTAAATGAAGAACACTCTTCCAGCCCTTAGAGTAACTTTTAGGTTTAACATTAAAATCCACAGTGTACTCCTTCTTCAAAACATTGAGTGTTCCAAGTATTGATCCTTGAGTAATGATTAACTCCTTTCTATGGTTGATAAATTCTAAATAAAAAATAAAATATAGCTATATAATATTTTATATATAGTTATTATGTAAATTTATAATCAATAACTGAGAAAATTAATCAATTTGATTGTTTTTAAAAAAACCACAAATACTCAACTTAATTGACTAGAACGTTATTTGTTTTTTTAATTCAAAATATGTTTATTTATTACTGTTTTAATTATTTAAATTTATTTAGTTAGAGGATTTTTTGATCTGCATTCTGATGAAATAGAAACCTTCTGGGGTCTTCAATACATACATCAACTGATATAGGTTGAACATGCAAGGGATTTGCTTCTAAATCAACTGCATAGATTGGGGAAGGCTAAAAATGATATGGCTAGATTGAGGGTGCGATTTTTTAAAATTATATAAATGGTGTTGAAAGATGACTGCTCAGCTGATTTCATGAAACTTGCGCGAATAATTTTTCTACAAATCCATAAAAAGTAAAAATTTAATTAGTAAATTTTAAACTTTTTTGTTCAAATGTTTAATACAGTAACAATATTTTTTGTTCAATACATTAAAATGTTTATAGTTTTAGAAATTCTTTCATTGGCATGCTAGTCATTTTTTAGATTTACAGCAAAGATAAAATGTTATTTAGGTCAAACCTTCCTCTACCCCATGTGGGGCAAGTTGTCCTTATTTAATGGGGGCAAGTTGTCATATAAAAAAGATTGCATCTATACTCTCATATAGTTGCAAAACTCTTAAATGAATGTTAATAATACATACAATACTTATTACAGGGCTCGAATTAAGGGGGCACAATCCTATTAAAAAGTGTAAATTGTTTAAAAAAATTTTTTTTTTCAAAAATACACTCAACTTAACTTAAATTTATCAAAGAAACTGTTGGTGATATTTATTTTTTTTCAAATAGATATTAAAATTGGTCAAAATTTCATTTATTTAGATTACTTTTATTGTAACTCCCCTAGCAATGCACATAGCAACCGTTTTTGAGTACTTTTTTCACCTTTTTTAGCTTTATTTTAAAGTTGACCTTAGATTTATGTTTTTGCAAATAGTTTCTTATTAGAAGTTAAAAAAGTTAAAAGTTGGGATTTGTTTTTGAACTTAAGTTTTAGTATACAATTTGTGATTTAAATGGTGCTGAACTTTAAAGAAAGTTTAGAAACAAAAAGTTTTGACATTTGTAGTTGAATGTTATGCGTATGACAGGGTATGTAGTATGCATACAACAAGGATGGGTTATCAATTTATGAAACTGATTTTTTATGAATAAAGTTGTATTTTTAATGTTTAATCATAGTCTAGAGTGCAATATTTAATAGATTAAAAGGTTCAAGACAAATATAATCGTTATTATAAATAGAATTTCTATAAATCTTTTTTTCAAACGTTCTTTATGAGATATCAATATTATACTAACTTTGATTTACTGTGGCAAGGATATTTCAGAAACAGATTGACCAAAACTTATCATATTTGGACAGTTTGTTGATTATGCATCAAGTTGTGCAATGAACCTCAAAATTATATGAATGTGTAAGTTAAAAATAAAATATAAAGATTTTTTGGTCATTATGATGGGCTAAAAAGAGTTTTTTTTGCATCCTTCAAAGAAATAAAGCACAGCCCTAAGGAATAAGTAAGTTATAAAGTTTTTGAGGTTCATTGCATACCTTTAACATCAAACTAGTTATATGCAAAAATTTATTCTATGTAATCTTCTGCATTTTGAAATATTTTTGCAACAAAAATGGACAATTTTAAAATTCTTACCCCTTAAAAATTGGCCCTCAGGGCAACCCTTCATTTTTTTTTTCTAATTTTTTTAATTTTTATCTTAGTTTCATTTAGAATTTACTTAATATATAGAAAAAACTATTTAACTATCAAAAATAAAGATTTTTTTGTTTATGGGGTTGTGCCCCCTTAAGCGTATGGTGATTGCTTTTTACACTTTCCCGATTTATTTTTTTTTTTTTTTTTGTTTATTATTTTTTCTTTCTAATTTAGCATTTTTTTTTGGCAATTTTTAAAAGTAATGTCTTTTCTAAGTTTTTTTTATTAGGTTTTATAAAGTACGTTATGCTAAATTTATCTTTTGTATAGAAGCATGATCATTTGTTCTTTTGTGCGGAGATTTTCATTCAACGTAAAGCACTATTGAATTTAAATTACTTTAAATTTCTGCATGAAAGCCAATAATATTTTAAAAGGTTGTTAAAGCAAACTGTTTAAAAGGTAAAAGAAGTTTAAGCAAATTTTTTCTTCATTCTTTTTTTTTTAACAAAACTGCCTGGTTTTTATCTTTGTTTTTAAAATGTTGCACCAAATTAACTTATTATTAATAATTTGAATTATTATTTTATCAATAATTTTATATTAGCAAATTTACTACTTTAAGTATATTAAAATATATATTCGTTTTTAAATTAAATTTGTATTAAAATTTTTTTCCAATAGTTAAATAGTGTTAATAGAAACCAGTAATATTTTTGCTTCAACATTTTTCACTTAAACTTTCCTGAACTTTTTAGAGTTATATTTATTTTCATTTACTCAATGGATAAAGTACATCGCAGTAAATTTACTTATAAACTAAATCAAAACAACCACTGTCAACAACAACTACTGTCATAACTTTACTGGTACAATTCTCAAATATTAATTTATCAACTATACTAATATACTTAATATAATAAAAGACTTGCAAAAGTTAGCCAAACAAACGTTTCTATATGTATTTTATATGTTGTTTACACATAATATAAACTTTTAACTAAAAATTATTTTAATAAGGAATGTCGAATATGAAAAACGTGATACCTTTTTTTTATATTTAAATTTTATTTAAAGTGATAAAAATTGTCTATAATTGTCTATAAAACATTTTGTCGATTAAACATTTTCTATAATTATGCAAGTTGTTTTTAGGAATTTTTTTAAAAGAAATCTATTTCAACAAAAGAATTCTTCTTAAAATAAGTCTTTTGAAATTCTCTCATTTTTTCCATTAAAATTTGAAATTAAAAAAAATTTGACAAGTTTTTAAAATTTTAACGTTTAATAATTATAAATTTAATTGTGGCGGCATCCGTAATACCCAGTGGAATAGCGAAGGTCATTCCTGAAAGTTAAACGTATAATCAGCTACAGTAACAATATTAGATTTAGAACATAATGCAAGTGAAGAAGAAATTTTTTTTTTAATTGTAGCATTTTGAAAAGTAAATATTTTTTTGTTTCTTGAAAATAGTTTTTTGAGTAGAAACATTCTAATGCAAAAATTAAACCAGTGATTATTGCAAACGTTAAAACAAAAATTTAATTATAAAAAATTTAAATTAAAAAAAATATATATATATTTTCTATCTGTTCAAGGTCATTTTTTTCAAAAAAAATGATTAAAGCATATACTTAAACTTAACAAAATATAAGCTGATTTATTAAACCAAATTTTTTTCTAAATTTTTACTACAAAACAATTTGAACAAAAAAATGGAATGAAAACATTAACTTAAAAGCCATTTAAATAAAAAAAATTTTATACTTAAGTTATTAATAGTGCCTTTAATAGTAATAGCAATAAGTTATAAAAAATGTAATATCTGATGTTTTCTTGCCCCTGCATAAATGTATTAAATAGTTTTCTACAACTAGTTAAAATGGTTTAAACATTGTAATACTTGTGTTTTTACTCTTATTTTTTTAAGTAAAAACAATCACTAAAAATTACTTTAATGATTTTAATTTAATTAATGATATCGTAATAGTATTAAATACTTTGCTTGCTCATTACATTATAACTTGCTCATTACACTATAACTGCAACTTAAACTTTAAACTATAACTTAAGTTGAAAATTATAACATTAAACTACGCTAGAAAAAACTCTGCCAGCCGAGAAAACTATAAGTTAATATTTAAATATGAGAGATATTATGTTGAAAAAAAAACAATTATAAACTAATGATGAAAAAATACAATTTTATGCTAACGCAATCTTTCTCCCCCACCTTACGGCAGAGTGGCACCAGAGATAAGGAGGGGGGATTTTTTTTTTAATATTTGCAATTAGATTTTTTTGCGTAAATTCCAGCCCTGTATTATAAGTAATAAAAATCACTCAAATGAACTAGGCATAATATTTAAGAATAATAAGCCTAAGTAAACATTAATAAATGATAGTTATAGACAGTTATAAAGTTTTACTTAATTGGACTTGACTTTATTTACTAACAAAAAATAGCCTAACAGCTTTTTTTAGCTTTATCAGATTTTAAATCATGGTTTGCAATTATCAAAGGAAAACCAGTAGAAGTACCACTGCCGATTTTTCTTCAATACCTTCTGTACCAGAAGATATTGAAGATATTTTCACAATCTACACACCTATGTACAACCTAGGTGTGTAAATTGTTAATATGTTTAAGGATTATAATATTTATATAAAGCAAATTGTAATATAATATATATTACAATTTGCCTCTCTATTCATGAAAACTTGCCCTGACAGTGGGGCAAGTTGCATTAATACATTAAAAAAGTAAAAAATTAAAAATTAAAAATTTTATTTTATATACCTGCAGGCAAAACAATAACTGGTTGCAACTCATTATCTAAAAAAGTTGAAGAGTAAAATATATAAAAAATAGCATAGTCTCATAATCAAAAAAAAAGGTTGAACACAAAGAATGAACACAATTAAAAACATACTTGAAATACCATTGATAATAAACAAATTTCTTATTAAACCATCTTGGACTTCATACCAAGGATCAGATGCATATACTTTTACATTATCAAAACTTTGAACTTGATTATTATTTTCAGAAAAGACAACTACTCCATTTAATCGAATTGTGTATACATAAACTGAGTTTCTCAAAACTTGACTAACTTCAACATTAGACCATTGATTTAATCCAATCGGGTTTGTGGTAAACACTCTGTCAACGTTACCATTAATTGGTGCAGAAATATAAAGATCACCTCTTCCATCAGCATGAAACCAGATACCAGGAACACGATCACCATAACGACCAAAATCAGCACCAATAGAGAAATGAATAACACTATGCCAACCAACAACAAATTTTTTTGGATACACATCAAATGAAACTAAATACTCTTTATCTAGTTTTGGCAGTTCTGCAATAAGTTTTCCTTTAACTAATGTAGTAGAAATGCTGCCAACAAGGTATTCTACAAAAAAAATCCTTTTTAATAGTAAAATAAATAAATCTTTCTAAAAATGTTTTTTGGCATTAACTATAATGCCATTCTAACAAAAAACATAAGCTTACGAGCATTTCCATTAATAATTTGAAGATTAGAGATTGAGCCATCTTGGCGAGCATACCAAGGATCAGAAGCATATACTTTGATGTTTTGAAAATCTCTAGCATCTGAATTTTCAACTCTATGGATGTTAACACCATTCAGATCAACAGAGAACCAGTACTTACCATCACGCAAATATTGAGAAATTTTAACATGAGACCATTGATTTAATGGAAGTGGAGTTGTTTCAACATAATAGTTATTATTACCACTAACTGCAGCAAAAATAGTAAGTTTTCCGGAACCATCTTCGTGAAACCAAACACCTGGTATCCTGTCACCATAAGCTCTGTAATCTTTGCCCAAAGTTAAATGAAGAACACTCTTCCAGCCCTTAGAGTAACTTTTAGGTTTAACATTAAAATCCACAGTGTACTCCTTCTTCAAAACATTGAGTGTTCCAAGTATTGATCCTTGAGTAATGATTAATTCATTTCTATGGTTGATAAATTCTGAACAAAAATAAAATTTAGCTATATATCATTTTATAGAAACTGATTAACATTTTTTTAATTTGTTTTCATTAACTTTAGAAATGAAAACTATAAATCTTATTTTAAAACTTTTAGGTAAAAAAAACATGTATCACTTTTTTTGCAGATTGAGAAAAGCTGTGTATATATATATATATATATATATATATAATATATATATATATATATATATATATATATATATATATATATATATATATATATCGTTGTGTCTAGCACAACGGTACTGTTGCTTTAAACTTTTATCTTAAAGTCAGGGCAGTAAAGTTTGATTGGTTAATTTTAAGCCACGGCTGCGAATATGATTGGTTGATTTTGAAAGTTTTATTTGTACAAATTTAAAAAGAATTGCAACTGTAAATTGTGCGTTTAGCATTGTGGTATCTCATTAGTATATTACTCACGGTGATCTGGGATCAAATCCTTTCATAAGAAAAATGTTTTTTAACAATATTTTTATTGAAAGTTATTATTATTGTTGTATATTGAAAGTTACATTGATGTTTATTATTTACAAACATTGACTGATATAGGGATAGGTGCAGTGAGTGCACATACATCAACTGATGTAGGGATAGGCGCATTGAGTGTATATATATCAATTAAAGGTTTTGATTTGGGCATGCATTCTTTAAATAAAAGGAAAAAAAAAATCAACCAATCAGAAATCACTACCGTGACTTTAAGGAAAAAATTAAAGCACTGGTACCGTTGTGCGAGCAACAGGGTATATATATATATATATATATATATATATATATATATATATATATATATATATATATATATATATATATATATATATATATATATGTATATATGTATATATATATATATATATATATATATATGTGTGTGTATATGTTGCACATGGATGGTGTTTCTCTTTGTACTTTTGGTGTGCATTTTTGGGGCTTGATTAGAAACCCTTTACTATAGCTTAGGGTTTATTAATACTAATTAAGCAATTGTTTCGACTATTAGATAATGTACTGTTTACTACCTGTGCCTCAATTCGAATTCTTTAACAAATTTAAAAAATGATTTAAGTATCAAAAACTAAAAAACGCAAAAAACCATCGTCATCACCAAGTTCTCTAAATCTATTATTCACTAATATTCATGGTCTATGAAGTAAATTTTCTTCTGTTGAGTCTTATATTTTGCAAAGTTCACCAGACCTACTTACTCTTTGTGGGACTAATTTGAGCTCAGCTGTTTCATCTTGGGATAAGTTCAGCTGTTTCATCTTAGTGCTAATTGTTGTCTTCCTTTAATTCATAAAGACTCCAATAGTCACATGCTTGGCCTGGACATTTACATTTGTAAGAACTCACCCATTTGTCAGGAAACTAGGTTTGAAACTACAGACTATTCTTGTGTCTTGTTTCTGATCTTAGTCAGTGCTCAGTTTCTCCAGATTCACCCTTAGGTGCTTTTGATCACGGTTTGATCTCTCTAAAACTATTATCTCATTCTTCTTCATCATCAAAATCCCCCTATTATCGTACCTCTTACAACTACTTTAAAGCTGAGTGTGACTCTTTCCGCGATTTTCATTGTGATGGCCTTTAGGTAGAAATTTTTCTTCCTTGAGTCTTCCTGCTGATAAATATGCTTCTTTGGTAATTTCTTGGATTCAGGCTGGCATGGATTATTTTATTCCTTCTTAACAATTCCAAGTCAAGTCCCACTCTTCTCTATGGTTTTGCTGCAATTTCTAATTGTAACCATTATTTCCATATATATTGCTGAAACAATTCTTTATAAAACAGACTTTTGTTTACTATAGCTAGAAACCATTGTAAAAAAGTTGTGTCCGATGATAAACCCTGCTATTCTCAGGTCACAAAAACTAGTATTTTATCTCAAAAATTAGTCTCCAGTCTCCAGAGAATCTTTAGCAGTGTCTATAATAAAGGCAAATCTGTTATTACACTTCTTTTGCATGGTCCAGATTTTTTTATCTCACCTCATGCATTCTAATGAAATAGGGAGCTGCTTGTGACTTCAGTTGCTTCTAAATCAACTGAAGATTTGGGTTTTTTTATTATTATTCTTTTAGCAAAAAAACTGCATAAATTTGGGAAGCCAAAAAATGCTGGTATATACTGATGTGCGTAGTAAAGCACCGCCAATCGACTATTGTAATTTTATGAAAGTATGCCACTACAATTGACTTTAATAAGAAGATAAGTGCTGATAAGAAGCACTTATGTATGTAAACAAAATAAAACTAATGTGCTAGTTTAAAATAAAACAAAAAAAAACTTAAAATAATATAACTTAATACAAGGAATATTATGGCATTGTGCAAAATTACAAAATTGTCTTCATAAATCCAAGCCATCAGTTAATATAGGTACACTGACAAATATTATCATTAAGAAAGAATAACTAAAGCACTATAATTAAGAAAGAATTTTGCATTAAAAAAATATTAAATCAAAGATAAAAATATATTTTATATACCTGCAGGTAAAACAACAATTGGTTGCAACCCATTATCTAAAAAAGTTGAACAGTAAACAAAAAATCATATAGAAAATAGCATAGTCTTAAAATCAAAAAAAAAAGGTGGAACACAAAGAATGAAGACAGTTAAAAACGTACTTGAAATACCATTGACAATAAACAAATTTCTTATTAAACCATCTTGGACTTCATACCAAGGATCTGATGCATATACTTTTACATTATCAAAACTTTGAACTTGGTTATTATTTTCAGAAAAAACAACTACTCCATTTAATCGAATTGTGTATACATAAACTGAGTTTCTCAAAATTTGACTAACTTCAACATTAGACCATTGATTTAATCCAATTGGGTTTGTGGTAAACACTCTGTCAACGTTACCATTAATTGGTGCAGAAATATAAAGACCACCTCTTCCATCAGCATGAAACCAGATACCAGGAACACGATCACCATAACGACCAAAATCAGCACCAATAGTGAAATGAATAACACTATGCCAACCAGCAACAAATTTTTTTGGATACACATCAAATGAAATTAAATACTCTTTATCTAGTTTTGGCAATTCTGCAATAAGTTTTCCTTTTACTAATAGATTGTTTGAATTGCCAAGAATATTTTCTAAAACATGAAAAAAAAAAAAAAAATTAAAGACAAGGTGTAAATGTAATTCAGAATTTCACTTAATTGTATAATATTGATTTTGGTAATTAATAATATTGAACGACAACTATATTCCTATATGTGGCATAATTAGCTGCATTAAACATTAGATATAATTAAGAAATGGTTTTTTACACTTTGATTTAATACTCATTTTTGCTATGCAAAGGCTTTCTCTGCTTTTATGAATTTAATGGTTTCACACATGTGGTTGGGGGTTGGGTTCCCATAATGCCATTTTTTATTACAAATGTCATAACGGGTTTAAGCAATTTCTAACAACAATTCATAACGCAGTTTAGGATTTTTTTTTTTGAATTTAGTTTTTGTCAGTTAAAAATTTTTATTGTGGTGTTAACACAATGATTAACATCTTACTCGCAACTGAATTGTTTTTCTCGCCTTTACCATGATTAAAACATTTCACTATATGTGCTATAAAAAAAGAAAGTCCCCAAAAAGCAACTTTTATGAAAAGTAAAAAAGACATATATTAACTGACAAATAGGTAGAACATGCAAGGAATAGTACAAACATTAACTGAGGGTGTGAGTTGGGCAGGATTAGCATTAGAGTTATTTTTATAATTAAATAATGCTTTATTTTTATAAATATTTGTTATTGTAAATAAATGAATAAAAATATGAAATATATTATAATACATAATTAAATAAATATCACATAATATATATAAAAAGTGTAATATATAGTGTAATTGTAAATGTAATTTAAATGTAAAAAATATTAAGTTTGAATATGTATAGATAAAAATAAATAAAATAAAAACTTTTAGAAAAACAAACAGGAAATATGAAAGAGTAAAAAAAAGTAAAAAAAATGTTTTTCATGGGAAAAACAAAAACAAATAAATGTGCCTTAACTAAAGCATTTCATACATTGATCGAATATTCCAAATTTCAAATATATAATACTTAATTTAAAACTTTATCTGCATTAATGTTTGTATACACACAAACACATTTATGAAAATTTATATATATATATATATATATATATATATATATATATATATATATATATATATATATATATATATATACACACATATTTTTGAAATAAAAAAAAAAATAATGTTCTTACCAGCTTTTCCGTTGATAATTAGAAGATCATTTATAAAACCATGTTGTGCAGCATACCAAAGATCAGATGCATAAACTTTTATATTTTGGAATTCTCTGGCATCTGAATTTTCTACTCTATGAACATTATTTCCATTCAAATCAACTGAAAACCAATACTTACCATCCAACATAATTTGGCATATTTTAATATGAGACCATTGACCCAATGGTAGTGGAGCAGTTTCAACATAGTAATTAACATTACCACTGATTGCAGCAAAAATGCTAAGTTTTCCTGAACCATCTTCATGAAACCAAACTCCAGGGTTTCTGTCTCCATAAGTTCCGTAGTCTTTATCCAATGTTAAATGAAGAACACTCTTCCATCCCTTGGAGTAACTTATAGGCTTTACATTAAAAGAAACAACATACTCTTTTCTTAAAACATTTAAAATACCAATTAAAGAACCTTTAGTTAATGCAAATTGGTTTTTTTGATTGATAAGTTCTACCCAAAAAAAAAACAAGTAATAAATGAGTTTAATAATTAAAGAACTAAATAATAATAATAATAAAAATAATAATAAAGTACTAACAGAAAACAATTAGTAAAGTATCAAACATAAACATGTAACTACCTTTTGGAACTAAAATAATAGGAGGCAGAGAGGTAGGAACTATACCTAATAAACAAAAATGAAGTTGTAAAATCATATACTCAGAACAAAGGTAAAAATACTCAGTAAAATCATAGTTAATTAACTCACTAGAAATTTTGTTTAGAATGTATAAATTTTTGATTTGTCCATTTTGAGCTTCATACCATGGGTCAGATGCATAAACTTTAACATTTTTGAAAACTTGTGGCTGCTGATTTTTTTCAGTAAAAACAATTTGACCATTAATTTTTATTGTGTATATATACTCAATAAGTTCATATGTATTTTGTTTTATAGTTTGGGCTATTACAACTTGTGACCATTGATTCAATGGAATTGGGTTTGTATTAAAATAACGGTTCAGATCACCATTAATCGGAGCTGCAATATAAAGACCTCCTTTACCATCCTCATGAAACCAGACACCAGGTACTCGATCTCCATATTTATTAGCATTTTCACCAATAGTGAAGTGAACAACACTATGCCAACCAGGTAAGAACAAAGTAGGTCTAACTTGAAATGAAACTAAATATTCTTTATTCAGTTCTGGAATAACTGCTACAAGGTTTCCTTTTTCAATTGATGTGCTTAAATCACATATAAGATGTTCTAAAAAATAGTGAACTTTGTTTATTATCTTAATTTCATCTTTTTGCCTAATATCCATTACATAAATGTAAATAAATCAATTAAAACATATTGATAGACATAAATTTAAAGTTATTTAAATATACAATTTAAATAACTTTAAATTTAAAAATATACAATTTAAATTTATTTAAATTGTATATTTTTAAAGTTTAAAAAATTATTCAAAAATGTTACATAGGTTGGTTTTATAGGTCAATTAGGCACTATGTATGTTTAGCACCCAATTAGAATGAGTAAGGCTTGACTTAAAACTGACAATAAGTGTTAAAATCTTCCATGCCTGTATTCAGGATATTATGTGAGGCACAATTATTATTGGAGAGAAAAAAGATATTGAAAAAATCACAGTAAAAACTACAGTCAGCCTTAAGGCAGTAGTAAGAAGTACAATGATAGGATGAGCCTGTGGAAGAAGTATAAGATAAAAGTTTTAGTGATATCATAGCAAGGTCTGAACCACCCAAAAGAAAACGAGGAAAAACTGAGTCTAAACTAGAATTAGAGACAAGAAATAAATTAAGAAATAAAGTAAGCGATTATGGTTGTAATTATTGGAGTCTTTGCAAATAAAAATACAATAGCCAAGGGAGAGCTAGTTAGTCTGCTGAATCTTGCAAAAGACAAAAATCAATAAAGAAAATGCAACTTTGGACCCCACAAATAGTTGTAGAAAAAAGATTGACAACTATATAAATGATTGTTTTTTGTGTTTAATATTTTCAGGTACTTAACATGTGTTTTAGATTATTAGGGAACTTGACTGGATCATAATCAAAAGTCATGACTTAGAGGTCCTCATGCACACTAACAGAGACACCATCCATGCACAAGATTCCTCTGGTAATACTCGATTATTTTACAGCTCTCTGAAAGTTACAACAGACTTAGAGAAAATTTGATAGTTACATAATCGCTATTAAAAAGGCAAATGCAAAAACCCATGAGAAGATCCAATATTTATTATCCTAGACACAATAAAATCTATGCCAGACTAATAGATAAAGAAGAAATACAAGATCAACATAACACTTCTGCTTACTCCTAAAGTCATTCCTTGGGAGGCTTTCTACAATACAGTAGTTGGATGCAGTTAAAATCTGCCCAAGAATAATATTTTTATTGACACATCGTGTCTAGTTGTTACCCAACCAACATCCTACAAGACAGCAAGCCCCTATAATATTTTTAAGTTATGTCTCAAAACACTTTTTTACTATTAACTAAATAAACATTAAAACGCAAAAAACGTTTGTTTACAATTGTCGCATTGCTAATTGTATAGTTTTATTTCTTTCTAAATGCACAAAAGTTTGTCTCAATCGGGTTACTTTGATATGAAAGTTTTTAAGTCACGCATTTTCAAGTCACGCATTTTTAAGCCACGCATTTTTAAGTCACGCGGGTTACTTTTTTTTTACATTTTTTTTATACATTTTTAAGTCACGCATAATTGTTTTGTTTTATTTTATTTTTTTTTTACGTTACGTCTCGGTTACGGAAATATAACTGTAGCCTATTGAGACGTAACGTTACGTCTAAAGTACACGTAAAATTTAACCAATTGAGACGAAACTTTTGAATATTAAAAATAAAATATTGTATAAACTAGTATATAAGCGTAAATGAAATACCTAACTAAAAATTGTCCTAAGTATTGCTTTGAACGCTACTGCAGGTTCTACTTTCTTTTTTTTTTTTTTGTTAATATTTTTAATATTGCTATTATTGTTATTATTATTATTACAATTATTATTGATTATAATAGAGAATTTTATGCTTATTAAAAATTGTATACAAACATAGGTTTAAAAAGTGCTCTAATTCGATGATAAAGTTTAAAAAGTTACATTAAAAAGTGCTAATATTTGTAATTTTTTAAAAACATTTTATACCAAAGTTACATTAAGAAATTGATCGTTGAGAAAATTTTTTTTTTTAATTATGCAAACCGGTTTAAAAAAATTTTATTTAAATTAAATTGAATGTTTTTATGATTAAATATATATTTTTAATTAATTTTTTAGAAATTGCTTTTTAGATGTACTTACATCCACTGACAAATAAGGATTGGTGCAATTAAATGTGCATTCATCGACTGACAATCTGAAAAGTTATATCTTAAAAAAAATTTAAATATCTGATTGATGCTTTATGCATTTTTAAGCAGTTTTGCTTTGTCGATAGAAACTGGGTTTCTTAAAAATTTTAACTTTGAAATATCTAATTTTTGAAAAAGAATTTAATCATAATCAAGTATGAAAAAAAAAGGCGAATATTAACATTTTTTAGTGTAATTTTCAGACCTATGCTTTTATGCGATTCTTAATCAGCATAAAAGTCTCTATCATAATCAATAATAAAAAAAAGGGAGGGAGGGGAGAGAAACTGCAGTAGCGACTTGGTTTGTGCAAACAATGTTAGCAAAATTAATGAAGTATGCACGCAGGTTTCTCTATATTATTTTGAGCTAGATAAAATATGTATTACACGAGGACTCTAGTATTATTTTAATTACTTTTTAAACATTAGAGATTTAGAAAGAAGGATGATACTGTTATGTAATAAAAAAATGTAACCTCTCGGCTACGTATACGTAATTATACTAACTGTAATTAGTGCTTGCAAATGGTACAACAGATTCTTCTCAACCAACTACCTTGAAAGGAAAAAATTTTACGCTTTTTGAGCTTTTATAAACCCATAAACAAAAATGTCAATCATTTTTTTGTTTTGTTGTAATGGCAACATTCAACTTACTATTTAATTACCTATTGATACTTAAACTAGCTTAGTAGAATGCACATTCTAGTTTCAAGTGCAAAGACCGCTTCTCTTTATGCTATCTTTTTAATTCGCCAACTTCTCGCTTTTTAATCGTATTACTACCGCCTTCCAAAAACTCACAAACTCTTTGTCTATGTAGATAGGTAAATTTGCTTTCTGTGGACTGTATGTCGCTCTATATGGCAATTACTCAAACGATGATAAGCCACATTACCGTTATTCAAAATAGTGTTGTTTCTTCTGTTTTTAAAGCACATTTGATTACTCCTACTTTTTAAGTTCTGTTTTAATGTATTTAAGAGTCTTAGGAATTCGTACTTCAAAACAATTTATACACATACATAACTTATGAATGTTATTTGAATCAAATATATTTTTCTTATATTTATTTATAAAATATTATTCGTTTTCACACCTTATACTGTTACATCTCTTTATGTAAAAAGTTTGCGATTTTATTACATAAAAATAGCAAACATTTGATAGTAAAAGTTGCGTAAAAATGTCATTTAGTACAAAAAAGTACATTTGCAACAAAAAAAAAATAGCAAAAAATTGTAACAAAACCGTAACATATTATGTTAAGTCTCAATACCTAACATTGTTATTGCAGAAGACATGGGGCAGGTTGTACTGGATGATACTAGTAGAGTGATCGTGATAATGCTGAACCTGAACCTGGTTTGACTTCTAAACTGCTTTTTTAAGCAGTACTTTACTCAAGAGCTTTTGAATATACATTAAGAAAAAAATAATCTTATGGGAAACTATAAATTAAGGTTGCAGTCATGGTTAGACACACCACAATAGAAGTTTAAACAAACCAAAATCATACATCAAATAACCTACAAGTAAGTTAAGACCATGCTCAAATTAAAAAAAAGTACAAACATGCAAATTTAAGACTGCGTTAGTAATATTGTTATTGTCGTAATAATATTAATTATTGCACGCTCATAATCTTTATTCGTTCAAATAATTTTATTATTGAAATTTGCTTCCACAAATTGTAATGTAGCTGCTTCGCTTATAAACAAAAAAATTTGTACGCAAGAGACTAAAACTCCAAAACAAGAGAAAATTTTTTTTCTAAGTTTTAGTCTATAAAAAAGGTAAAATAAGAAGCGCATAATGCCTAATGAAGCTAGAAAACGTCCGAAGTTTGTATTTTTTTCTAGTTATTGCCTATATTTTATAGCTTTTTAAATAGCAATGTCATTACAATTTAGCAATATCTACATATTATACCTTTGTTGTTAGCTACTTCATAACAACAGTCCTACCCAGCAAACTGTCCTATTGGGGCCCATATGGGTTTGCCCAGGTGGGCCCTATTTGGGCTTTATATATGGGCTTAAAATGGGCCCCATTTGGGCTAGCCCTTAAATACAAAATTTTGTATTTAAGGGCTAGTCCACATGGGGCCCATTTTGTGCCCATATATGTAGTTAAAAAGTTAAAATTTTGTATTAAAGGGCTAGTCCAAATGAGGCCTATATAGGGCCCATATATGAAGTTAAAAAAGCATATAACTCCATCTTATTTTTTAAATTTAAATGCCATCCAATTGTGCTTGCGATGGTATTATTGCAACGCTAGGCAATTAGCTGGAAGAGTATAAATCACAATAGCGAACTTACTTTATGAAAACCCCTTTACGTATCTCAAATGTAATTACGTCTCAAAGCTTTTCTCAAACAAAATTTTAAACTAAATTGAAATTAACTCTTTTTCGAAAAATCTTCTTTTTGTTTAAAGTCAAATCATTTTAAAGACTCCGTAATAGTTTTAAATTGCATTTGAAAATTATTTTTTTTAATGTATAAAAAGTTTTTGAAAGTGTATACACTATTTAAGGTTTTATAAACCCACAAGCAAGATGTATATAAAATGACACGTCTTGAAGAGGTCTTTTTAATTAAAGTCTTAATTAAACTTATCTTAAAAAAAGTTTAAAATTCCACTCTCACTCTAACATATCTTCGTTCTTCCTAAACTTACTTTACTCTCGGTCCGTAGAGCAGGTTATGACGCTCCTTGGGGAGCCGAACCTGTCTTTGCGGTACCGTGGTAATGTGGCCTCTAAATGGCAACTAGCCGGAAGAGGATAAACCACAATACCACAAACAAGTTTAAATTTACTTATTTTTTTGTAGTATTTTATTATTTAAATGCTGTGGTATATTTATAAATGTTTATTATTGTTTACCTTATTCTTTCTATGTTTGATTTCCTATTTTATTTCTATAAAGCTAGACTCACGTGATATATATATGACTACATATTAAATTATATGTATCTAACTTAAAAATATATAAATAAATTTCCAAAATATTATAAAAAATTTAAATAAATAAAAAATTGGAATCCATGTGGGTCCCACATATACAGCCCATATGGGCTGCCCAAATTCACGCCCAGCAACAATTTTCCTTGGGTGGGATGCGAGCAACATATTTGTGCCCCATAAAGCTGCCCACTTGGGCCCCATTATGACTTGTAAAAGCCATTCGAAATGTAAAACCCATTTGCTTACATGACCAATATGACTTGTAAAAGCCATTTAGAAATGTAAAAGCCATTTGCTTACAAGTATCTACCTTCCCTTTATAATTTTATGATTATTATAACCAATTAAAACCAATTAAAATAACTTACTGAAAACATTAGGCGCGCCGTTATTCCTAATATCAATTGACATTAGGAATAACGGCACTTCTAATGTTTTCAGTAAGTTATTTTAATTGGTTTTAATTACTTATAATAATCATAAAATTATAAAGGGAAGGTAGGTACTTGTAAGCAAATGGCTTTTACATTTCTAAAATAATACTAAAATTTAGTAATTTATGTGATTTTTAAATATTAAATTATCAAAAACAAAATTAAATTATCAAAAACATGCGTATATATTTTGGATCTTTGCTCATTATAACTAGATTAAACCTTATGACCTCAAAATTATGCCTATTTTTCTATCCTTAGTCTGTAATATTAGTTTTTAAACCAGCCAGATTTATGTTTTAAATTTGCTATTGACATTTAAAAATATTTTTTCCAACTTGCTGCTTTTAATTTATTACAACTTATTCAACCCTTCCCACAAGGTCTCATACATGGAAGTATAAGTAATATAATACCTTGAGCATTTGCAACCACGCAAAGTAAGAATGCAAGTAGAATCTCCATCTATATGAAAAACAATTATATTAATAACTTTTTTTTGAAAAGTAACAATAAAGAACAGTTATGTGTAATCTACCCAGTAGGCACGCAACGTTTTATTCACGTCTTAATCACGTGTATTTTACGTGACCTCGTCCAAGTGACTATTTTACGTGAAAAAAACGTGAAAGTCACGTTGCCAAGATATCGTTGTTTTCGGAACTTTTTTATTTGCAATAAAAACCTGCGATTAGAAACTTGGAAAGATATTCTTTATTATATTTACTAATTTTTTGTAATTTAGTTTATATATTCATTTTTATAATTTTTTTTACTAAATTTTACTGATAACATAATTTTTTTTTATTGTAGTTTTATAATAATTGAAAAAAAAAAGGATCAGTCTTTATAATATTTTATAATATAACGTCGCTCTGCATTTTGGACGCAACAAAAAGTCACGTATAATATTTTAACTCAACACATAATAATATCTAAATCTTATATATTATCTAATTTTTTATCTTATATATTATCTATATATATTATCTAACTTAGATTATAACACTTTTTATTATAAAACTTAGATTCTAAGTGTTATCAATTTAAATTAATCAAAATCGTAGATACGTTATGGCAGATAATTATTATATAGCCACACGCAAAAGATCAAACCCTAGTAGTACTAGGGTTTGATCTTTTGCGTGTGGATAAGGGTTTGTAGTACTAGGGTTTGATCTTTTGCGATAGGATAAAAAAAGTATACCTTGTACTAGTAG